TGTATATGCACATGAATGTGTATGCATGTGTGTGCACTTGTGTACGTGTGTATATGCGCATGAATGTGTATGCATGTGTGTGCACTTGTGTACGTGTGTATATGCGCATGAATGTGTATGCATGTGTGTGCACATGTGTACGTGTGTATATGCGCATGAATGTGTATGCATGTGTGTGCACTTGTGTACGTGTGTATATGCGCATGAATGTGTATGCATGTGTGTGCACATGTGTACGTGTGTATATGCGAATGAATGTGTATGCATGTGTGTGCACATGTGTACGTGTGTATATGCGAATGAATGTGTATGCATGTGTGTGCACATGTGTACGTGTGTATATGCGCATGAATGTGTATGCATGTGTGTGCACTTGTGTACGTGTGTATATGCGCATGAATGTGTATGCATGTGTGTGCACTTGTGTACGTGTGTATATGCGCATGAATGTGTATGCATGTGTGTGCACATGTGTACGTGTGTATATGCGAATGAATGTGTATGCATGTGTGTGCACCTGTGTACGTGTGTATATGCGCATGAATGTGTATGCATGTGTGTGCACTTGTGAGAATGCAGCTGTGTGTGCACTGCATGAATGCATGTGTGTGGGTGTGTCCACGTGTGAGAATGCGTGTGTACAATGCACATGCGCACGTGTGTTTTCCAGTGTCAGGGCCTTTGCACTTAGCCCAGTCAACCCTGAAGCTCTTTAGTCAGATGTGACCCTAGAAAAAATAAATACAAACGGAACCCAACTCCTTCCTCCCTTTTTCTTTTGTTGTGAAAATGTTAATCTACCGTGTGTGGGGCTTTGGCAGAGCCTCATGCATTACCAGGCCTCCTGCCCCACTGGGCACCACTCGTGGAACTAAAATAAAACGATTTATTCATGTGAATGGTCATAATATTCGGGCCTGCAGTGATGTCTGTCTTTAAACTTGGTCTGCAAGATGAATTGAGGTCTGCTAGCGAAATGGAAATACTTTGATGCCGGGTGCGGGTGCGGGCATGCTCTTACCTTGTTAAGCTCAGCCGCCCCAAAAGCACATCACTTTCTCTCACTGTGGTGGGGACATCTCCATTGCAGCCCATGATGCCTCCGTATAAAACAGTTTGTCAAAAAGGTGGCCCCTTTCCTTGAACCAGAAGAAAAAAGAGAATAAGAACGAGAAGCTCCAACACCTTGTGCTGCCTCCTAGTATGTGGGCGCCTGAGGAGGCTCTCCCCGCTCACACTCCCACCCCGCCCTGGGGACCCCCCTGAGGGAAACTCTGAGGCTGCACCGCTGGTGCTGGGTCTGGAGCTAAGAGCAGGGCAGGGCAAGTCCACAGCACCCCTGCAGCACCTCGAAGACCTGCCTGGCTCCAGGATCCTGAGCCTCCAGGGCAGGGGTACCACCTGGGGCCTACGGAGCCCTGAGTCCTGCTCAGCAGAGTACACCCCTGCCACACACCCCTCTGTGGTCAGACCTCAGCTCAGAGCCTGGTGAGGGGTGAGCCATGGAACTGCTTTCAAATCCTCCTGCCCAGGGCCCATGCTGCACGCCTTCTCTAGCTTGGGCTTGGGGGAAATGGGAGCAAAGTGTGGACCCAGAGGGACTCGACAGTAGTGCTCTCTACAGATGCCAGGGCTCCCTACAGAGGGAGTCTATGGCAGTGCTCTCTACGGATGCCAGTGCTCCCTACAGAGGGAGTCTATGGCAGTGCTCTCTACGGATGCCAGTGCTCCCTACAGAGGGAGTCTATGGCAGTGCTCTCTATGGATGCTAGGGCTCCCTACAGAGGGAGTCTATGGCAGTGCTCTCTACGGATGCCAGTGCTCCCTACAGAGGGAGTCTATGGCAGTGCTCTCTACGGATGCCAGTGCTCCCTACAGAGGGAGTTGATGGTAGTGCTCCCTACAGAGGGAGTCTATGGCAGTGCTCTCTATGGCTGCTAGTGCTCCCTAAAGAGGGAGTCGATGGCAGTGCTCCCTACAGAGGGAGTCTATGGCAGTGCTCTCTATGGATGCCAGTGCGCTCTATCGAGAACTGAGGCAAGCCTGGGAGGATGGTGCAGGAGGAGCCGGAATCCTGGTGCCAGGGCCTGCTGTGTGGACTGATTCTGTGGCTTGTGCCCCACACCCCACATGCAGTCAACGGAGGGGCTTCCCGGGACCTCTGGGCCCAGGAGAGATCACGCTTCAGGGGCGTCCTTGGGCTGCGATGTTCCCCGCCCCGTCCTACAGGTGCTTCTGAGAGCCAGGCAGTAAAGTCATTTCTTGTCCCTGGAGCATTCATTTCTGGCCTATCCATGTTTAAATAAAACTTTTATATATCTCAATAATTATATCAATAGATCTTAATCTAGGTAATTAAAATTCAACAAGACATTCCCAAGGATATAACAAACACCCACAAGCCACTTTAACGACCACAAGCTGTTCCCCTGAAGGGACGTGTCCTCACCCGGGGGTGGGGTGTGGGTGGGGGAGGACTCGGGCGGGAGCCTCTTCAGGCTCCAACAAGACGGGCACCTGGCAGCATGTTTTCATTAAGTATTTTACGAGCCTGCGCCGGATCCTTTAGTAAGGTGACACGCGGTGCAGGATAGAGAATGCAGCAGGGCCGTGGCATGGCTCGGTGAGTTGCTGGCCTTCTCTGAGGTGCTAAAACTCTGGGAGGGCGACCCCGGGCTCCCGTGGACATGGATCCACTTGGATGACATCTCCTGCAAACCTGCAGTGCAGGTGCAGGGCCAGCAGCTGCAAAGGTCACACGAGGAGGCGTGGAGGGCTGCAGCTTGATGTCACCGGCTCTTTGCTGCGGTGTTTGATGACACCAGGATGCATGGCACGCTCCAGTTCTGGTCCAGTTTCACACTGTGGTGGAAGGAGGCCAGGCTGGCCTGCACCACGCTGCGTCTGTCAGCCCCCGTCTAAGCGTCTTCTGTAGGGCAGTGGGGAGGGTCGCCAAGGTTGGGGGTCAGTAATGACCAGGGCAGGGGGGCTTCTGCTTCAGGGTGGGGGCCAGCAAGGCGCCCTCTGGCTCCAGCAGCCATGATTCTCTGGCCCTCATGTGTCTCACCTCTAAAATGGGCAATGATGGGACACACCTCAGGGCTGCATTGAGGGGAGGTGGTGCTGGAAAGCGGTCAGGGAGGTCAGAGAAGCCAGGTCTCCAGCTCTGCACTCACCGCCCAGTCCTTGGGGGTCGGGAACTGTTGCTCAGATGGCCTCTGGTCCTGTCCCTCGCTCCACCGACTGGCCGTGGAAGTTCTTCAGGGTCATCCTGCGCCAGTGCCATGGCAGGGACAGAGAGGCCATGGGGTAGTGGTCTGCGCTCTTGGGGACTGGAGGATCACAGGAAATAGAGCTGTCCTAGGGCTGGTGTGCCTCCCTTCCTGTCTGCAGTCAGCTCAGGCATGGCTGAGATGGGATGGTGCCTCACACCTGGATGGGGAATCCACCTGGACTAGAATCTGAATCTCATGAGTCAGCAGGATTCAGGCCTCCAGCCAGAGGTGGACCTGCTGCCTGTGGTTCCTGGGTTTCCCACAGAGCTGGGGGCTCTAAGAGGAGCTGGGAGCAGTGAGAGCTCTGCGTAAGGCTGGGAGCCCAGTGTCTAACAAGATGTGGTGGCCAGGGTCCAAGGGGCAAAAATTTATTTAGCAGAGTTGAGAATTGTTGTGGGACCCACTGTCCCAGCTGTTGGATGCCACGTGTGGGTTGAGCCACTGTGGCTGCCATCACAGTCCACTCTTAGGTGGTGATGGGAGGTCAGTAACCCCAGGTGACCGTTCCTGAGCAAAAATTGAAAGGGGCTTTGCAGGGAAAGATGGGGCAGAGAAAAACAGGAGGGGCTGGATCAGGCGTAGAATCCGGAGGTCAAGACCCATCCCTCCTCCCTCCTTCCCTCCCGTTCTCCCCTTCACTTGAACAGAACTGAGGAGAACTGAGTTTACTTCAGTATCAGTGCATTTATGTAAATCCTTTCCCGAAACATCCAAGGGTCTTGAAGAATAAATGAAATGCCGATTAAAATGCCTGTGCCTGGCATGAAATAGATGTTGAGGAAGTGGTGAGTTATTTTTATCATTGTTACTTGGTACAACACGAGTGTTATGAATAACGTAGAGCTCTTTGTAATCGGCATTGACGCCGGCATTGAACGGGACCATCTAAACTTGAGCAGTGGCTTCCTGTGGGCTGCAGTGTGGCCCTGATGAGCCCGTGGCACACAGCACTGAACAGGACACATTCGTGCATAGGTCTTTGCCTTGGAGACAGACGAGCTTTGTGGGCTGAGTGAGGTTTTCTGCTTCCTATTCCATGGAATCAAAAGAGTTAGCATCAGGAAGGGTGGGACTGTGGAGGAGGGGGTAGCGTAAGCCATTGGAATATCAGTTTCAGGGCAAAACCGAACAGAGCACTGCTGTGGAGGGTCAGTGGGTCGGCCTCAGTTGGATGGGAAGGTATTTAGGGACTTTTGGATTTAGCATTCCCGTAGTTTTGTGACGGTGAAAGACAGGCCGTGACAGTCGGAGGAGAGGCCCCTCCACCTCATCACTTTGAGCCCCGGAGGAGGAGAAGCGGGATTCGTTTGTGTGCTTGGTGATGGATAGGAAACCAGTGCACGTGCACGGCAGAGGTTCAGGAGTCAGGTTTGGGAGTCGCTTCCTGCAGGGGGAGCCAGAGCGAAGGTCAGAGCGGGATCTTGCTGTTGACCTTCAGCTCAGGCTCAAGTGTGAGCCCGAAGTTGGTGTTTGTAGAGGCTTATATCCACGACACGTCAGAAGAAGCAGGCACAATTCCTTCCTCCACCGCAGCCGATGAGAACATGCAGGAAGCATTGCCAGCAGGCCTTCCCTGATAACCTCACGCTGCCTCTCGGGGATCCCACCCGGTCCAGCTTGTCTCCCATGCTGTACGCAGTCTCACTCGTTATTAATAAAATGTCACTCCCTACAGAACTCAATACAATGATATTTTTGCTATATTTACATTAAAACCAACAGATGTTAGCAAGTCAACGTCATTTATTATATAAGACATGATGACAATACAATTAGTATTTTTAAAACTGTAATTGTAAAATTGACCTTATTAAAATTCCACTTCCTCCATAATTAAAAAAAAACTAATTACTTGTAGTAATTGGACCAGAAATGACATTTTCAGTTCATTAATATTCAGCAAATTGTCGTTGAAGATGTTCTTGGCACGGTGCACTGTCAGCCTCTTGCATTTCTGTTCGTTTCTTATTTAAAAGTCATCTGGAAATAATAGTTTGCATTTTAACAAGATGTGTATCCATGAATTGATTTTATAAATAAAGTTTTTAATTGCTAATTAATTTGTGGGGCTATGTCTCTGTAACATTCTCCAGGCGAGAATGTGGGGGACTGGCACGCTGAGCCCGGCTCCCGGCCTGGATGGAGCCCGCCCACTGCTGGTACTGCTTTTGCAAGCCGTGAGGCAGTCCGGGACCCGGGCCACGCTCTGCTGCTCCTGAAAGCCTCCGCCTGATCACTCGGCCTGGAAGGTGGAGGCAAATCAAAATAGCAGAGTGTGAACTAGTTTTGTGATTTACTGGGCTCAGCTGAGATTTTTAAAGACTGGAAATCAAGCCACTTAGGGCTTCCCTGGCCAAGTGGTTCCTCCGGTGTCACAGCAGACACCGTCTGGCCTGCGGTCAGGGGAGGGTTACTCTCTGTAGGAAAAGGCGGACCGTGTGGCCTGGGTGCCTCTCTAGCAGGAAGGCTTCCGTGATCCCACTCTCCCGCCGTCCCCTGCAAGCTTGTTTGCAGAGAAGCCTTTTCCTCGCCAGCCCCCCTGAGTTTCCCCGCTTCGTCCTGATGTGTGGACAGGAAATGTGACTCCTGAACTGGCTGCTCCTTCAGAACAGGGTGGGCAGGGGACGTGGGCCCCCCAAAGAGGGGGGATGCTGGACGCTAACGGGGCCCCTCCCCGCACACACATGCACACATTCTGGAGAACCCAGGAGCTGACAGACGTGCGGGGCAGAGGGAGCTGGAAAAACGCATGAGAAGGACCTGGCGGGGCAGGACCTGTTACAGATCCTCAGATGGAGCGGGGCCCTGGGGAAAGCCGAGGCCATCAGGAGGGCACCTGGGCTGCCTCTTTTGTGTCTGCGGTGCCGGATTTCTCTAGAATCAACATGACTTTGAATAGGAAAAATGCATGAACGTTTAAAGGAAGGAACTGCAAAGGCCAGGTGACATCCCATCTCCCGAGGGGGGACCAGAGTTGTCCCGGGACACTGCAGTCCCACCTGGGAGCCACAGGCTGGTGTGAGCCGGGCCTCACTGGCTAGTGATGGTGTGAGCTTGGCCAGCCACCTTCCTCTGCTGGCGACAGTGAGGTGTGGGGTGAGAAGGTCTCTGAGGTGGCTTGTCATCCTTCCCAGGCAGGTAATCCAGGTGCCTGTGGAGAAAACTGCCTCGGGCTTCCCCTGGGCCCTGCTTCCAAGCCTCCTTCAGGCACCGCAGGAGCAGCCAGAAGCCTGCCCAGTGCAACCAGCCACACCCTGCTCCTCCTGCGTCCACCCTCTTGACCGGTGTTTCCTGCTGAGGCACTTGTCCACGTCTTATCTGTCCAACTGGGAGGCTGCTGGGAGCCTGACCCTGAGGGGGAACAGGGCCTGGGTAGGGGAGGCTGCTGGGAGCCTGACCCTGAGGGGGACCAGGGCCTGGGTAGGGGAGGCTGCTGGGAGCCTGACCCTGAGGGGGAACAGGGCCTGGGTAGGGGAGGCTGCTGGGAGCCTGACCCTGAGGGGGACCAGGGGTCCTGGGTAGGGGAGGCTGCTGGGAGCCTGACCCGGAGGGGGACCAGGGCCTGGGTAGGGGAGGCTGCTGGGAGCCTGACCCGGAGGGGGACCAGGGCCTGGGTAGGGGAGGCTGCTGGGAGCCTGACCCTGAGGGGAGCCAGGGGTCCTGAGTTGGGAGGCTGTGGGAAGCCAGATCCTGAGGGAAGCCCAGGAGTTCTGGGTGGGGAGGCTACGAGAAGCCTAACCTTGAGGGGGGCCCTGGGTCCTGGGTAGCTTTGCTGGGCTTCCTGGCAGGGTGGGTTCCAGGAACCTAGGCTGGGAGGTGGGGGAGCAGGTGCTGGGTCCCTGCCCCAGCCAGTTGGAAAGAGGTTCTGCATCCGGAGCTTCTCTTTTTGGGGGTGAGGGAGGGGGCCGGCCATGGGCTCTGTCCTCCAGCAGGAGCGGCTGGTGGGGGTCCCTTCATGCCCACTCCCAGGCCCAGCCTCCTGCCCCTCCCTGGTGCTCCATCCTCTCCCTGCCCGGGTGTGTCCTTTCTGAGCACACAGCACCCATGCCCTGCCTTGATCTCGCAGCCGCCCTCTGCTGCACTTGGCACCTGTCAGGGACCCCAGGTCCTCCCCACCGCCTGCTGTGCAATTACCCTTCCCACCCCCAACCCTGGGGACAGGGCCTGGTCAGCCTCACACCTGGACCCAGGAAGGCTCTCTTCCTGAACACAGTGTGTTCTCAGGACCCCTGGGCCCAGGCTCTGAACTCAGAGCTGTGGCCAGAGCTGGGAGCTGAGGCTCTGAAATCACCGTGGCCAGAGCTGGGAGCTGAGGCTCCTGGGGCCCCACGGAGAACTTCCCAGGAGGTGGGAGGGACAGACCCCGTCATCCCCGTCATCATCCCATGGCCGCCAGGTGTCCGAGTGTGCGGAGATGCAGCCAAGGCGGGTCCATACCTGCATGTTTCCCTTCAGGCCTTCCCCTGGGCACATCCTCAAGGGGTGGAGAAAACCCACCCCTGGGAGTGGGATCTCCAGAGCCTCCGCAGGTACTGCTGGTCCCAGGGGCTTCTGATGAGAACTGAGTGCAGACCTGGTGTGGAAGGTGGAGACCGGGGACTGGGTGGGGGGCGGGATTTGGAGGCCCTGCTCTCTCCCATCTCCCTGGTGGGGCCAGCTGTGCTTCCTGGGTGATCTCTTGGGGATGAGCCCTCCTGGTGTCACCCAGCCAAGTCAGCAGTCAGGAAGAGGTGGGTCCTGGGGCTCCGTCCACCTGAGATGAAGTGGCATCTGCGGCTGCTGCTGCCACTCCTGTGCTTTTGATCTTGATGATTTTCTTTTATTTTATTGCACTTTAGGTTCTGGGGCACATGTGCAGAACATGCAGGATCGTTGCGTAGGTACATACATGGCATTGTGGTTTGCTGCCTCCATCCCCCCGTCACCTGTATCTGGTATTTCTCCCCATGTTATCCCTCCCCAGACTCCTTGCCCCCGCTGTCCCTCCCCTATTCCCCCTAAACAGACCTCAGTGTGTGATGAGATCTTGATGATTTTCAGTGGTTTTCCCTCCAAGGTGGGTCCTCTGCATGAGTAGCCCGGGGAGGGCCGGTGGAACCTGGAAAAATCCCTCTTTGTTTTGACTTTGTCCTGGCAGTGAAACCAAATGCTCCTGTGGATACCGTGGGCCGTCAGTCATCTGCTCGGCCCCTCCCTCCCTTCACAGTGGCTGCTGGCCACCCCGGGTCAAGGACAGGCTGTGCAGAGGACAGCATGTCATGTTCCATGCATGCCCCCCCACCAGGCACACTTGAAAATACCTCTGTGTGTGCACTTGGAAATATCCACAGTTTGTCAATCCATGCACATATGTGCCCACCAGCCGCTATTGTGGTGGGGGACATGCATTCAGCCTCAGGTGCCTTAGAGACCCCTGAGCACACCTGTGCCTGGCGTGAACTCCCAGCTCGGCACTATGTGTCCTGAGAGCCGTCGGGTCCCTGGAGCCCTTCTGCCGTGCCAGTCCCTGGCAGGGGACTTCATCCCTGACAAGCTGCTTCCCTGAGGGCCAGTGAGGGCTCAAAGGTCAGGGCTTGGGGGCCTGGAGACAGCGTCTCTGACACCAGCAGGCAGCCCCCCAGGCTCTGTGCGCCAGTTGAGAGTCGAGCCCTTTGTGGCCAGAACCTGCTGAGCTCAGGAGAAGCAGGAAGGTCAGCGTCTGCCTTTTTAATGTAAATCAGAAACAAGTCGATACTTTACTCCGAGGCTGTATGGAGGGAACACAAAGAGAACTTGACACGTCTTTCTTCTCCTTAAAGTGGGGGGGACTTACAGTTAAGGGGAGATCAATGGGTCATTTGAATATGAAGTTTTGCATAGCTGCCATAACTGAGTTTCACCTCAGTCCTTTGGAGAACTGTCAGAATGGCCCAGCCTGCCTTCTGATGACCCTTGCTTGGAATCGAGGTGATGTGGCCCCACCCGGCTCCCTGCGCCCTTCCCGTCCATTTCCCACCAAGTAACAACCCCCACTCCCACCCCTCCACATTCACGTTCCCCCAGAAATCTCAATTAGAGTGCAAGACGGGATTAAACCTGACAAAGAGAATGATTGTGCTGAAGAGAGTGCAGATGGCAGCTCACATGCTCCCAGAGGCAGTAAACTGTCTGAATTTTACAAATTCAGGGGCAGAGATTCTAAACCAGAAGGTGCCATTAGAAACGGTTCTCAAGAGAACCTCCCACCCCAATTTTAGCACGAGGCATCAGTCATCTCAAAACCCTCTCTAATTGTGGAGACTGAGTTCTCAGAAGATGGGAGATCAGCATTGTAGGTCTGGGTCTGCTGAGCACAGGGAGGAAAGAGTGGACCCCCCGGCCCCTCTGAGGTCCTGGACCAGATCCTGGGGGAGGGTAGATGTGGACTGGTCTATAGCCAGGTTCGTCCCAGCATCATGGAGGGCCATGCAGAGAGGTTAGACCACCACCCCTCTGAGAGAACCCTGGACCCAATCCTGACTAACTTGTATACACCTTTGGGTCCTAATCTCCACGTATGAAGACCCCTGGAAACCCAAAGCTGTTGTGTATTTTTTTTTTTTTGAGACGGAGGTTCGCTCTTGTTACCCAGGCTGGAGTGCAGTGGCGCGATCTCGGCTCATCACAACCTCCGCCTCCTGGGTTCAGGCAATTCTCCTGCCTCAGCCTCCCAAGTAGCTGGGATTACAGGCACGCCCCACCATGCCCAGCTAATTTTTGTATTTTTAGTAGAGACGGGGTTTCACCATGTTGACCAAGATGGTCTCGAGCTCTTGACCTCGTGATCCACCCGCCTCGGCCTCCCAAAGTGCTGGGATTACAGGCTTGAGCCACCCCCTCCAGCCAGCTGTTGTGTTTACGACGTTCCGGTGGCCTGAGAGGAGCCAATGGAGGACTATGGAGAGTCTGTGTCCCACGCCGGTGAATGTCTGTCTGCTTCCCACACCCCAGGGCCTTTGCATCCACTGTGCCTTTCGAATAGAAGGCTCTTCTCCCAGCTCCTTGTCCCTCCTCAGCCTACCTTTACCCTCCGGCCAGGATACATCCCTTTTCTCAGAACTACCTGACTTTCCCCCGTCACAAGAGCCAGATTTGTTAATCACGTGATTGGGTTAATGTCCCTCTCCCCACTGGGTCAATACCTCGAGAGAGGAGGGGCCCGATCTGCCTACTTCACTGCCAGATCCCCGGGGTACTCAGCGCAGGAGCAGAGGCAGGTCGGCCCTCACATCATCCTGTCCAGTGGATGAATAAATAGGTGAGTGAACGTTGTAGGCGCAAAGGGAGGAGGGAGCTGTCTGGCCTGTGGGATGTGATTGATCAGGAGTTTCAAAGAAAAGATGGAAATGGAGCTGACTTGATATTTACCCTCAGGGCTTGAGGTCAGAGCGTGGGAGCACTTTGGGCAGATGAAGCAGACGAGGAAGTGCACGCATGGGGCTCACGTGTGCCGGGCTGGTGGGTCCGCGGGTAGCTTGGCGTGGCATGCATGACGCACAGCAACTTGCACACAGCAGGTGCTCAGGAAGTGCACGTTTCTGCGCTAACAAGGCAGTCGGCATGTGTGGTTTGGAGCCAGCGCGGTGCAGAGGCGGAGCGGTTCAGAGCGCAGCCTCTGGAGTCAGCAGCAGCAGGCAGAGAAAGTACCTCCTGGGACTGAGGTGGAGACCGAGGGATGTGTCATCATTTCCCCACCGCTAAGTGTGGCTGGCCAAGACTGCGGGGGGGAGGCCGCTTTCTAGATGGTTAGCTTCTCAGTAGGTGAACGGGGTTGGCTCAACTATTTCCAAATCTTCGCCTTTCCTGTACCGACCTATTTTGCTGTGTGTCTTTACAAATAGGGTTCTTTGGACAAATAGAACCAATAGGATAGATAGATAGATGAGATAGATATCTATGTATCTATGTATCTATCATCTATCTATCTGTCTATCTATCATCTATCTATCATTTATCTAATCTATCTCATCTATCAAATCTATCTCATCTAGCATCTAATCTATCTCATCTAATCTATTTATCTCATCTATCACCTATCTAATCTATCTCATCTATCATCTATCTAATCTATCTCATCTATCTATCTCATCTATCAAATCTATCTTATCTATCATCTATCTAATCTATCTATCTATCTATCTGTCTATGAGAAAATTTATCATGGGAATTGTCTCAGGATTAGGGAGGCCAGAAGCTTTTTTTTTTTTTTTTTTGAGATGGAGTCTTGCTCTGTTGCCCAGGCTGGAGTGCAGTGGTGTCATCACAGCTCATTGCAACCTCTGCCTCCCAGGTTCAAGCGATTCTCCTGCCTCAGCCTCCAGAGTAGCTGAGACTACAGGCACTCGCCACCATGCCTGGCTAATTTTTGTAGTTTTAGTAGAGACAGGGTTTCATTGTTGGCCAGGCTGGTCTTGAACTCCTGACTTCAGGTGATCCACAATCTTGGCCTCCCAAAGTGCTGGGATTACAGGAGTGAGCCACTGCGCCCTGCCAACAAACTTTTACTCCATGGAGTCTGCAAGCTGGAAACCAGGAAAGCTGGTGGTATGAGTCTGAGCCCAGAGGTCTGAGAATCTGGTGTAAATTCCAGACTCTGAGGGCTGGAGAAGAGGGAGGAGCCAACTCCGGAAAAGAAGGAGAATCTGCCTCTGCCTTTTCCTTCTGGGGCCCTCATGGTTGGATGATGGCTACCCACACTGGTGAGGACAGAGTCTCTGTTCTCAGTCTCTGGGTTCAAATGCAAGTCTCTCCCAGATACCCTCACAGACACACCCAAAAATAATGCTTTTCCAGCTATCCGGGACCCCTTAGCCCAGCCAAGTTGACACCTGCAATTAACCATCACAGTGGTGGGGTGGGTTTTATTCCCGCCACCCATATGGGCTTGGTCACCACACTAGCTCTGGCCAGAGGAATGGTGGCGAGCATGGCATGAGCAGTCTTGGCTGGCACCTGTGAGCCGGGCTAGCCATCTTGCACTCCTCTCAGCTGGTACCTGTGAGCTGGGCAAGCCATCTTGCACTCCTGTCGGCTGGCACCTGTGAGCTGGGTGAGCCATCTTGCACTCCTGTCGGCTGGCACCTGTGAGCTGGGCGAGCCATCTTGCACTCCTGTCGGCTGGCACCTGTGAGCTGGGTGAGCCATCTTGCACTCCTCTCGGCTGGCACCTGTGAGCTGGGCTAGCCATCTTGCACTCCTCTTGGCTGGCACCTGTGAGCTGGGCGAGCCATCTTGCACTCCTGTCGGCTGGCACCTGTGAGCTGGGCGAGCCATCTTGCACTCCTGTCAGCTGGCACCTGTGAGCTGGGCGAGCCATCTTGCACTCCTGTCGGCTGGCACCTGTGAGCTGGGCGAGCCATCTTGCACTCCTGTCGGCTGGCACCTGTGAGCTGGGTGAGCCATCTTGCACTCCTCTCGGCTGGCACCTGTGAGCTGGGCTAGCCATCTTGCACTCCTCTTGGCTGGCACCTGTGAGCTGGGCTAGCCATCTTGCACTCCTCTCAGCTGGTACCTGTGAGCTGGGCAAGCCATCTTGCACTCCTGTCGGCTGGCACCTGTGAGCTGGGCAAGCCATCTTGCACTCCTCTCGGCTGGCACCTGTGAGCTGGGCAAGCCATCTTGCACTCCTCTTGGCTGGCACCTGTGAGCTGGGCAAGCCATCTTGCACTCCTGTCGGCTGGCACCTGTGAGCTGGGCAAGCCATCTTGCACTCCTCTCGGCTGGTACCTGTGAGCTGGGCAAGCCATCTTGCACTCCTCTTGGCTGGCACCTGTGAGCTGGGCTAGCCATCTTGCACTCCTGTCGGCTGGCACCTGTGAGCTGGGCAAGCCATCTTGCACTCCTCTCGGCTGGTACCTGTGAGCTGGGCTAGCCATCTTGCACTCCTCTTGGCTGGCACCTGTGAGCTGGGCTAGCCATCTTGCACTCCTGTCGGCTGGCACCTGTGAGCTGGGCTAGCTGTCTTGCACTCTTCTTGGCTGGTACCTGTGAGCTGGGTGAGCCGTCTTGCACTCCTCTTGGCTGGTACCTGAGAGCTGGGCGAGCCATCTTGCACTCCTCTCGGCTGGCACCTGTGAGCTGGGCTAGCCATCTTTCACTCCTTTCAGCTGGTACCTGAGAGCTGGGCGAGCCATCTTGCACTCCTCTTGGCTGGCTCCTGTTAGCTGGGCTAGCCATCTTGCACTCCTCTTGGCTGGCACCTGTGAGCTGGGTGAGCCGTCTTGCACTCCTCTTGGCTGGCACCTGTGGGCTGGGCTAGCTGTCTTGCACTCCTCTTGGCTGGTACCTGTGAGCTGGGCTA